CACTGTTGTGACTGGAGGACTTTGGGAACTGGGGTTTTAGTCTGGGAAGATTCTTGCTAGAGGTTGTAGCTAATAACATAGCTGAACTGAAACTGCATGGTTTCTTGGAGTCCCTTGAGCTAGGCCTGACAGCAAGACTGCAATATGCCAAACTGTCATTAATTTGTCTTAGATTGGAACAGCAATCTAAGAAGGTCTATCTAGCAAGGTCAGATGAACTAAGGAAGTTCCCCAATAGACTTGCTTCAGCCGGATTCTAAGACAATTAAATTCTTAATCAGTCCTCTAATTCTAGTTGTGTTAGACCACTGGAATCTGAATAAGCAACTTATAGTAAGATTTTCAAGAATGTTGATTGGATTGCTTCTAAAGTAGGAGGCTCCTTAAAAATTCATAACTAAGCACCACATAGCATCAAACCTAGAACTTTGGCTTTAAACAGTTTAACAGCCGGTGAAACTTAATTGTTACCAAATTGATCTGCAAATTTAGCAGTTGCAAGGGATGCTTTGGGGGCTTTTACCAGATGCTTTCTTGTTTCAGTATACCAGAAGTTAGAAGACTGAGAACTATCTTAGATATTTAAAGGATTTTATCTGCTTGATGAGGTTGCTTCTGATTGTCCATCGAATTAGAGAATATTAGTACTTTTGTTTTGGAGTACAGTAATTTATTTTGAGGTGTTCTATAGAGCAGTAAAATGATTCACATAGGCTCTCTATTCATTTATAAATCAGGAAAAAAAAAACCAACCCCAAGATTTACCAGTTTTCTCAGACACATCAGATGCTGGAGAGGTTGGTCCACTACTATGATCATTATCATCTTCTCCACCAACAATAGCAGAATGGTCTTCTGAAGGAGGAGGAGGTGTAGAATTCTTTACAGTACTGAAAGCAGCAGGTGCTTTTTGATCTGCAGGAGAATCTGAAGATGGAGCATTCTGTCCTTCAATTTTTGTCTTCTTTTCAAAGCGAAAGCGGTCCAGATTAAACAAACTCATGATCTTTGTCCTTCACTTCGGCCAGAGTTTATGAAGTGCAACTTTAAAATCTCTGGGAACAATAACAGCTCCACATAAGTCAAGAGTAACTGGAGGAAAAAAAAAAGGCAGATTATTGATGAAGATGATGCAACTATAATAATATAGTGTAAGGCTATATTACCAAGTTGTAGCTATAGTCGTCAGTCAGCACTGCTCTATTCATATCTAGCATTTTCAGATGTTTATTTCCAAATTGTTTTAATACTTTACATTCCAAGACAAGCCCCATCACTGCAAGATTTTAGGAAAGTCCTGAATAATTATTTATTCACTTCAGACATCCTTCAGTGTATTCTATTTCTATTAATCCATGGTTTTTAATCCATGGTTTTTATTTATAAAGGGTCTATTATTATAAGACCCTTTAAAGCTTTTGCCCTGAAAAAGCAGCACAGATGTATTTTAGATAAAGAAACAAGACACGTTTGAGGTATTTAATGATACAGAAGCCAAGTCAGAAATGATTTTAGAAACCATAAATGATATATCTAGAAAATTTTTGAATGTTTTAACATATGCTTTTGTTTAATAATGATCACTTGGATTTATATCACTTGATTCTATTATTGTTTTCCCTGATGTTAATGTCTCTGCTCATTCCTTGAGGAAAACCATCCAAGAAAACAATAATGTCTCACAATAAGAGTGTCAAGCATTTTGTGTCACAATGCACCAACTAGATGCATTTAGGAAACTTACAACCTTCCTTGCTTTCTAACAGCTGGTATTTAAGGTAAGTGTGCTTGTTATTGTGTGGATAAAATGAACAAGGAGAAGCTATTTTCCCCTTCTCAAAATACTAGAACTGGAGGCCACCCAATGAAACTGAATCCTGGAAGAATTAGGACAAAAGGATTTTTTTTAACACAACACATAATTAAACTTTGGAATTTGCTACCTTGAGATGTGGTGCTGGCTACCAGCTGGGTTGGCTTCAAAAAAGGGTTGGACCAATTCATGGAAGTTATGGGGATCAACGGCTATTAGCCTTGATAGCAGCCTGACTGCCCCTGAACACCATCTGCTGGGAGACTAGTGGACTTCCTTGTGCACTATAAGAACAAACTGCAGGACTAGATGGACCAGGGTCCAATCCAGTAGAGCATGGCGTATGTTCTTAGGTTGTTATTATATTCCCTTCCTGTTAGAAATATATATATAAATCATTTTGCAAGATTGTAGAAAAATTTAGAGACATTTATCAAAAATTGATGATGTATATATTTACCTACTTAGCAATCTAAATACCTGAGTTGCAGTACTTTACCTGGCACAGGTTGATGTGAAAACCATCTGATTGAAACTGAATATAGTAAGGAAATAATGGTATAACGTGAAACTTTGATTTAATGGGCCAATTGGGGCAAAGTGGTGTCCATTACTAGCAAAGGTCCATTAACTTGCAATTTATGTCATGTGCAGTGATTTATGTTATGTGTATAAAGATGAAAATCTTTGATACAAAATTAATGTAAATTTAACTGCTTCATCCAGACTACTTTGGATGCAGTGGACGTGCCCATTATTTGGGAGTAAGTTTGGAACAAAATATACATTGCATCCAAAATTCCCAGTTTAATGGGGATCTATTAAATCAAAGTTTTGCTTTAGCTGAATCTTATAATTCAATGAGAACAGAGCACATACTATAGATTGCCAGAGGGAACTGAACAACTTTCAAATGTTAAATGTTAGGATTGCAGATAAACTTTAAGTAGTAACATATTTATTGTGATGTAAACTTTGTAGATCCCTTACCCCTTTGCAGGTCCCCAGTATTATCCCCTACTAGGTAGTTTCTATATTATTTAATTGAAACATCTAGCTAATCTGGGTGTATCTCCCCCCCCCCAAAAAAAACCCCACACCTAAGCAGACAATAGATTGTTGCTAACTATATAGGAAACAACAGGAAATCCTACGGATGCAAGTTAGCCTGGGCAGAAAAAAAAGTGACAATGGCAAACTACTTCCATGCTGTTAAAGAAAACCACATAAACACCACTATGGAGTCCCCATGAGTCAATATTACCTTTTTCTTTCATCTTCTACTATCTTAGGTTCACATGTCACGCTAAGACAAGATTTGTTTAAAGAATTGTTTGTTGAATAAGATGTAATTACTTAGTTTACATATCATACTAAGCCATCATTTATAAACCCTAATCATGATTCAGAGATCACCCTAAAACAAACAAAAACGAACGAACCCATCCCCTGTTGCATTTTTACAGACAAAACTGTAACTACAATGGATTCTACAGATTCCCACTGCAAATGTTTGAGGCTTCAATCAGTGTAAAATGTAGACAAATGTTGTGAAATCTGGTATTTGGGTCACTAGGCAGGCATTCCACCGATAATCCTCTACATACATATCCATCATGCTCCATCATATTCTTATACCCTGACAGGAGAAGCTTATGAAGTATCCATGCAAGCCTGGAAGTCTTGGTTGCTTTTGTGATTCAGAGAGAAGTACATGTTCCTGCCCATTACAAAGAACTTCATTTGAAGGATTTGCACAGCTCTTTAGTTCAAATTGCTTTTTGGCAGCAACGCTGGATCATCAAATAGATGCACTACATTGTCTTGAGCCAATGCCAGTCTGTTCAGTCATCAATATTATGGGGCCAAAATATTTACATGAATCAAAAGAAGGGTAAATGCAAAGTGCAAAATTCAAAAATGCAAAAAGTGCAAAATAAAGATAGAAAGTAACATCCAGAAATCACTACATGGAAATTTTACTATGTTACTCCACAAAAAGGATGTAGTCAAGGAAAGGACTAAGTTGATGTAAAAGAAGTGCAATACAGTTAAAGGATGACCAAACAACTATTGGCTTTTTTCTTCACTACCGAAAACAATTGTCTTATCTGAAATATCAACACTGTTATTCTTCCTAAATAGCATAATTATCTGTAGATGCTGAGTTACTCCATAGACTTTGAGATAGATTCTGCAGAAAATTTATAGAAAATGCCAAGGTCATCCTAATCTGAGCTGTCATAAAAAGGAGAACATAAGTACTGAATGAATTTCTGTCTCTATCTCCCAAACATCCAATAAAAACAATTTGATTTTTGCTGTAAAAAGTGTACAGACACAGCTGTTGGACTGGGAAGGGAAATTACATGTTTACCACTCATTAAACATGCAATTTCTCAACAAACTCTGGAGACATTTGTTTTTATGTGTATCTGCTCCTATAGGCTGTAGGAGGAGTTGGATAGAGACACATCTACTGTGACAGAATACAGAAGATGTTCAAATTGGAACTGTGTCTGCCAATTCCCTTTAGAAGCAGATGTACAGTAGGATCCAGACAAAGACATATTCACACAGAAAAAAGTGCACAACTCAAATACAACTATTACCATGTTGATGTAAATATATCATATTGGTAGCAAGTAGGTTTTCCTGGGAAGAATTACATCAATTTTTTAAACAAAATAATTATGATTCAGATTGCATTGAGCTTGCAACTATTTAATTTATGATTCTCACAGCTCTTGCTTCCATATGCATATTTCCTTATAGCCATGTTAGGTATATACTCATCAAAGCATATGACCTATGGAATAAACTAGTTAACAGTAAAATAAGCAGAGTGAATGTCATATAGAAATAAATTGAATATTGTTTCCTCAGTATAGTATGGTTTTATAAAACATTAAATTTTCTGTAATGGTTGACTATTATCCTCCCAAGACAACTGTTGCTTTTTAATGAAAAGCTAATTGAAATTTAGATGACTTCGATGTTATTCTGCTTTATTTATTTCTGTAGTTTGTTAGAAATACTGTTTTGCTCACCATTTAAAAGTACAATAATCCATACAAACACAACAGATACAATCAATCCTAAAATCTATTAGAGACCATCAAAGCCCTGACAAAGCCATTCATCTGTACCTCATATATAAACTTGCAGTTCATTATAAACCATCTTTCCTTTGTGACATATATAAGCAAATGTCTAACTCCAAAAGCTCCTGCCTATAAGTAAAATTCAGATGCCCTCACAAAGTTTTTGTTTGAAACTCCCACAGACTATGAAGATTGTGGCACAATTTAGTATAACATCCAGACATTTTAAGGACTTGCACCTTTTGCACAACACACAGTAGTTTATGTGTTTGTGTAAATTCACTGTCTCCCTTCACAGAGCTATTAGCCTCAACGCGTCATGTCCGTTAAATAGATTTGTTATGTTTCTAATGTGAGTAGCCTACATGGAGGGAGGGCCCTAGAAAAAGCAGAGCTGATGGAACACTCGTGGAAATATGTACAAAGAACATGGAACACTCATGGAAATATGTACAAAGAACTTCACTTTCATGACAGTGACTGTATGGTTAGAAAACACCTGAGAATTTAATGATGAAGAGATTTATTTATTCTCTATCATTCTAGCTGTCTTTTTATTTCATCTTACTGAGGTCCTGAGATTCCAAGAACAGCAGTTCAATAGTATCATGAGCTCTTTTTTCCCATATTCAGGATTTCTAGTTTCAGAAGCTCTGTGGAGGAATCTGCTTTGACTGGGAATGTCTCCTATCCGAAATGCACATTTCTGCAGGCTGGGCTTGTACCATGAGTCTTTGTAGACTATTGTGATGTTTTAAGTTATCCTTTCAGGGTAAGCAATGTAACCCAAAGGGTAGAAAGTGAGAAATAGTGGACAAAAAAAAAACAATTACTATAAATGCAGAAAAGAAAATGCTATTTAATTAAATCTTATTTACAGTATGCCATCATCAGCTGTACTACTCCATACCTTTCTATCCTTGCAAACCATCTTCCACTGCATCTACACATTGCCTTTCACTCTTTAAACTTCTCACCCCTCTGTTTAAGGATGTCATCACATCCATCTGATCACCATTCTTAGCATTCCTGTAGACCAATTTACTCTCTATTTATATATTTTACCCTTGGAATCTCATTCCTTTTCTCTGTGTGACTAAACAACTTCAAGGTAATTTTCTGTACTGGTCACTCACTTTTATATTCAATCTAGTCATTCATTACCCATTCATTCTTGACTCTCTTTACTTGTTTTATCACATATATCTTCCACATTCTCACTGCATTCAAGTTACTTTTCTGTTTTTCATGACATAACCTGACATAACAATTCTTATTTCCATATTACAAAGTGGGCAGAAGTATACGTTTATACATAGCCATTTTCAATTCTTTTGGTAAATGTTCATCCCTTGCAACAGATCACATACTATCCACAACCGTATTATCAGCATTTGTACTTCCTAAAATCCCTCTATCTATTTTTCTATTTTTAGTGAACAATCTACCAAGATTCACATAGCCATTTATTTGCTGTAGTTTTTACCATTAGTACTTTGCAACCATTTATTCCATTTTTTCTGTCAAACACAACTCCCTCAATCTTTGATACATTAATTTACAGTTCCATATTCCTCTAACATTTGCATATTCTAACATTTTTTGCAAATCATTGCTGGCTCTTAGCTAACAACACAGCATCCTCTGAATGTACACATACACGTCCTCAACCAAAAGACCCTTAGCTTCACCTCAAGCGTGCCTTGTAGATTTATTAAAAAATATATTAAAAAAATCAAGGGGGCATTGTCATACATGCTGCTCAATGCTGAATCATTTGTTAAGCACTGAATTTATTCTCACAGATTTTCTTTCTACCATATATACTCTTACCACAGTCAGCAACCAACCTTCAACTCTGTATTTGTGCTAAAACATTCCATAAGTCAAACCTACTGACTTTATCATATACCATTTCTAAATACAGTACTCAGTATGTTTTTATCATTACATTTCGTCAACATATTTGAGATCACCTCTATGACTAAATCAAGACTGCACAACCTGCTACAGCAGAGAACTGACAGTTCACCATATTCCATAACAGTTTGTATATAATACATGTACAGGTAGTCCTCGTTTAACAACCACAATTGGGACCAACAATTCAGTCATTAAGCGAAGTGGTCACTAAATGAAACTGTGACTATGCTTATGATCTTAATTCAGCTTTCCTTTGCTTTACAAATCCGCGAAGGTCATATATCCAAGGATAGGTCGCCAAGTTACTTTTTCATCATTGCTGTAACTGCAAACGGTCGCTAAATGAGGCAGTGGCTAAAGTGGCTACCTGTATTCATCAAGAAGCTACAAGGCTTGTTAGTGCATTTGATTATAAGCCATTCTGGTCCACAACTATGGACCATTATTTCACTACCTAGTCAGCACCTTCCTGTTGCTTTTTAAATGGATATGCAGCATCTACAGGGTAGTTTTAATACACGTGTGTTAGAAAGATTATTTCCTACTGCCTGCCTGGTAGAAAGGAGCAAGTTATATTCAGCCTATAACAGCAGCATCTCTCTTCAGGTTCCTCCTCCCCTTTGGGCAGATCGTTCCGGGTTCCCCTCCCCTTTGGCATGATTTTTTCGACCTGCTCATCATTTGCTCGAAACGAGATTCCTACCGCACACCGCGGAATCCCGCATAACAAAGAGAGAATATTTCACATTACTCTCGTCGTAAACACACAGGTCCCCTCCCTCCGCTGCAGCGCGATTTCTCTCCATAATCAAGCAGGCCTTAATCCCCACCGTCTCTCGAGGGTTCCCTCAGCGCTCCAAAGCCCCGCACCGCCTTTCCGGCCACCACCATTCCCTTTTCTCCGTTTTTCCTCTCCTTTCCACCATCTTTCCGCATCTCCTCGAGCCTCCCCATCCGCCTTCCCTTGAGAGGGTCCACTGCATTGCTTGCATGCCCCCGCCCGGGTTTCAAGCCCACCACGTACACGAGGCCAGGGGGCTCCTCCTCACCCCTTCTACGCGGGCGTCATCCTCTCCCGGCCTGCTTTTTCTCGCGGCTAAGCCAAACTGCGAGAAAGAGATGGAGACAAAGACGGGAAGGGGGAGGGGGAAGGAGAGGAAACCGGCCGGGCAACCAGGCGGGCCGGCAAGCGAACGTCTTCTCTGCCACCCCTGGCCTCCCGCGTCTTCCTTACCGCGCGCCCACTCCAATGAGGCGCGAGCCCTCGGGACGCCTGCCGCGGCGGCAGAACGAACGGCGGGCTGAGGCGCGGGGGTAGGAGGAACCCGGCGGCGGCGATGACGACAACAACGGCGACAGTGATGACGACCAAAAGACGCTCCGAAGCAGGAGCCGGGCGGCCCTGGACTTTCCAGAAAGCTTGGCACCCCTAAACGACGCTTAGTGATGACCTCACTGAGGTGGTCCCCGTGCCCAGCATCCCTCTCGTCCAGTTTTTTTCCCCCAACAGCCGATGAGGTTTTTCTTTACATTTGATTGCGATGATGATGCCCACGCGCGCGGAACGGCCGAACCGGAGTGGAGTGCGCAGGCGCAGTTCTCCGCGCTCGCCTTGACAAGCAAATTTAACTCAGTAACTCATAAGCCTGCCTGGGCGCAGTTGGCTGGTTTGAGTAATTCCTTGGATTGCAGTCTTTCGTGATATTTAACGTTGCCGGACTTCAGTTCTGCGCTGGAGAGTAAGTCGTGAAGGAGGTCCCTCCACGAACTTTGCGTTGTTTGTGGCTGCACCTGCAAACTCCTCAGCTGCAGCGCCTCACCTTTGGGGTACCCACTGCAGTGATTACAGTATGTACAAAATAGGTTGCTCAAAATGTGCGCTTCATGTCGAGTTCCCAACGCTTCCGAACTCAAAACAGCTGATCTAACTGTCCCGGCTACTCTGGAAGTGTTTGGAGCTGGAAACAGCCCGTCTGAGCTTCGTTTACAGTTTGTGTCACGGAAATAGTCATTCCCAAGTATTAGTTCGTTGCCCAGTTAACCAGACAACGGCAGGAAAACAGCCAGTATTTTATTTTGCAACTGCAGAATAACAGACATCCGATCAAATGTGCCTCACAAGCAAACCTAAACTCTTATGCTAAAGAACACCCCAATCAGGCTAACTCCAGAAGTCACATTTTTTACTACAGGTATTGACCTTTAGGTTTCAGGGCTCCCCCTGTCATGAACTTAATGCTTTTCTTATCTAGAGTTAGCTGACTCCAACTTTATATTCTCTTAACAATTTTGAAACAGATCTTTTGAGCCAAGCACATGTGAACATTTCTGGTAGAGTTGGAACAAACTAGAAATTAACTTCAAAATGTTTTCGTATCCCTCTAGTGTTCTGCCTGTTCACTTCATGGATGTTTTCAGCTACTAGCATGTCTCTTCTACGTTGTTTAGGGGATTCAAGAACAGAAAGAGACCCTTGAAAAGTTGAGACAAAAGCTACTGCTACTACCATCCTTAAATTGTTTTTAATAGGCTTCTCCATTTTGATCTCCTCCAGATGTGTTCGATTGACTTCCTAGCCAACATGTCACAAAGGGATCATGATAGATGAACTGCATATCTGAGGGCACTTTATATACTGTTGCCAGAACTACATCTCCAAAGATCAGGATAAAACACATGTTAGAAATTCCATGTGATATCAATAGTATGGATAGCATATGTTCAACAGAAAATGACAGTGAAGCACAAGGAAATGATCAGGAAATGTGAAAAACTGACAGATTAAAAATTAAAAGCAGTTTCGTAAACTATTGAGAAACCTAAGGTTATACCAAAAGCACATGCAGAGCAATAAAGAGAAGGGAAAAAATAAACTGCAAATACTGTGTTGAAGGGGATTGTGAACCACTTTGCTCTAAAGGTAAGCTGTCAAACAGTGAAAAAAGTAAGAGCAAGCCAAGACATATCTCCTATTTCTTGGACAGAAAGTGCATTTTAGTGTGTTCTTTATTATGAAAATAAAACCCAAAGAAACAGTTTAAAAACAAACAAGGGAAGATGGTTCAGACTTGAGAAAATGTGGGAAATAAGCTGTTAATTGTTAGGTTGGTTGTTGGATCTTACAACAAGAGTTCCTGATTTGTTCAACTGGTCTTATAGTCAAGAAAGATGAGAAAATATAACAGTTACAAAAGAAACTGCACCTGTAGAAATTATTTTGAATTCCACGATTAAAAAAAACAACCTGTCATCTAGTCTTTTGTAAATGTAGATTTCTAATTTGATTTGAAAACATATCACAACAAAACTGGCATATTACTTTTCAATTAAATAGATGAGACAGATGGGCCTATTTTTGTTTTATAATGGGACTACATTTGGCTTGTATTCAAAACAAATAGAGCAGTATTCTGCTCTATTTTGTTCCCAGTGTGCCCATTTTAATATTGTGGTGTATGATTTACAAGGCATTTAACTTTTGAATCTAAAGTGAACAACTGCAATAAAAAAACCCCTAATCATTGAAAGGAAATTGAATAAAGTAAGACTTTAGAAAGGGATTGAACTTATAGATGTGTGTGGGAAAAGATGGCCTGTAAGGTAGCACTCTTGTAAATAATATTGCATAGTGGAGGGAATTCCTGCAGGTACTTTGCTGTCCCCCATACTACTTTCCTTTTTTTTTTGTTTTTTTGAGAACTAATAAAGATATCTGTCAGTCTTCTTGGATAACATTGCTTCTTCCATATTCTATCTATCTATCTATCTATCTATCTATCTATCTATCTATCTATCTATCTATCTAATATGTTTGATTAATAACAAAATATTAAGTTATTAAAACAAAAATTATTTCATATTATTTTAGATCTACAGGGGCTTAAATAATGTAGTGGTATGTTATTTT